CGCGGGGCTCACCGTCCTCGCTCTGGTTGTAGTAGCCGAGGGCGGTCTTCAGGTTCACTCGGTCAGTCTCTGCATTTTCCTTGCTGATCCGCGTGTTCCGGTCCCAATACCCCGCGTCCTCCTGCTCCACCCACGGCTGCTCCATCCACGGCGCCCGCGGCTCCATCCTCGGATTCGCGGCGTCGCTGTCGAACCGCACGAACTGCGTGTCGTCCACGTAGCCGACTTCCAGGTACCGGGGCTCCCCGCGGCCGGGCCGGGACAAGGTGGTGAGGAAATATCTCAGGGAGTGGGGGCCTGGGGGGGACACGGGAGACGGGCGGGGCCGCTGAACACGCGCTTCCCGGGTCCCGCGCTCCTTCCCGCGCAGGCCGCGCCCTCCGACCCCGCACTCACCGGCCCGGGTGCGGGTCAGGACCAGGGCCCCCGCGAGCAGCAGGAGGAGGGGCGGGGACCCCATGACCCGCGTCCTCGGGGTCCGGGGACCATCGGAGTCCGGGTGGATCTCGGGAAGTTCTAATCTGGCCTGGTGCGGACGCTGATTGGCTGGTCCAGGAACTCCACAGCCAATGGGAGTGAGATGTGTGCGCGCGTCATGAGTATCCGGGCAGGAGGCGCGGAAGACAAGTTGGGAGGAGGGAAGTGAAACCCTGGAGCTGGGGACTCCCCAGCCCTGAGCTTCGCCCTCGGGCTGAGTCGTGAGAGCCAGGCCTGGGGGCCCGGGGCCGAGTCCTGACCCTCCTGCAGGGGTGCGCTGGTCACCCCGTCTCCCGGAGTCCTGGCCCAGGTGCTGTCTGAGGAAACCAGGGAGAGACCCCCAGGTGGACCCAGCTCCTCCCCTCTTCTCTTCCCGGACCCCTCTCCCTAGAATGGACGCCCTGTCTCCCTCCCTCATCTCTCCCCCCGGACTCTTCTAGCAGAAAACTCCTCCCAGGGAACTTGATGCCAGAGGGTGAGCCCATGGAGTGGAGGTGGTGGGACAGGGCCTTTCTCTCCAATCGTGGCGGAGCTGCACCTGCAAACAGGAGACGGAGGTCCTCAGGTCCCAGACTCTGTGGTCCATGAACCACCGCGGGGAACACACCTGGGGAACTGACCACCCGGGAGCTCGTTTGTAGGAGATGGGGATTTGGACCCTCGGTACAGAAATGCGTGTAAACAGCACTGCGGTGGACCCACAGAGCTGAATTCCACCTCCCACGGTGCACGTGACTCGGGACTGTCACACTGCAGTGAGCTTCGCCCGCGGCCCTGAGTTGTCCGTGTGGGTCCCACACCCTCAACACAAAGCGCGTTTCCACGGGAGCGGGTGCGTCCTCGGAGGTGCGGGTGCTCGGCGCGGCTCCTAGCGCTGGACGAAGGGAGGCGGGCGGCGGCGCCCTCGGCCCAGGGCCCAGCCGGGAACGCGCAGAGCGGGCGT